AGGATGTGGAGACAAGCTCCTAGCAGATGGGGAGGAGGTTCCTGACGTGATGGCAGAGGAGGACAGCTGGTTGGAGAGAGGTAGGGTACGACCTACAGGGGATAGGGGAAGGTCTCTGACAGTGGTGTGGACTGGGGAGCTGACAGGCGTTGGTTGACTGGGTATGGGTAAGGCGTGGCTGACACGACTAAGGGGTAGGGAAGTGTAGGTTGCTGGAGACGGTTTGGAGGTAGAAGGAATAGAAGTTCCAGAGTGAGCAAGAGTTTTGAAGGGATATAAATCCTCATGGAAACGTACGTGACGACTAATATAAACACGACCTGTGATAGGATCAAAACAACGATAGCCCTTGTAGCCAGATGCATAACCAAGAAAAATACATTGAACGGACCGGGATGAGAGTTTATTAGCTGAGGTGGCTGAAAAATTGGGATAACATGCCGTACCGAAAACGCGCATGAAAGAATAATCCGGAATCCGATGAAAGAGTTTCTGATACGGAGAGACACCTTGTAAAATAGGCGAAGGTAACCTATTAATAATATATGCATCTGTAAAAAGGGCATCAACCCAGAATTGACTCGGTACAGAAGCCTCAAAAAGCATAGTGCGAGTTAATTCTAGAAGATGCCGATGTTTGCGTTCAGCCACCCCATTTTGTTGAGGTGTGTCAGGACAAGATTTTTGAAAATAAATGCCATTTGTGGTAAAAAATTGCTGCATATTATTATTAACAAATTCACCACCTCCATCACTTTGAAAAATTTTAATTTTCTGATTAAACAGATTTTCCACCAGAACTTTAAAATTCTTAAAATGAGTGAACACTTCACTTTTGTGACACATTGGATAAATCCAAGTAAATCGAGAATAATCATCAATAAAACATACATAATACTTGAATCCCAGATTCGAAGAAATAGGAGATTGCCACACATCAGAATGAATAATTTGCAACGGAAGAGAACAAATATGACTAGCATCCTTAACGGGCAAACGTTGTGATTTTCCTAACCGACAAGCAACACAATCATGGGTAAAAGGAGTGTGATTACATAAAAATTGTTGACGTTTAAGAAACTGCAAAACATGATCACTACAATGGCCTAATCTACGGTGCCACACAGGGCCAGAAACAAGTACGGAGGCTAAGGCAAAAGATGGTGATGATGGCAAACTGATAGGATAGAGAGGACCGCTACTGGTAGCTCGCAGAAGTACTGCCCCCGAGGCTTTGTCCTTAATCAAAAAAGAATTTTTATCAAAAATCACAGTACAGTTGTTATCAGCACAGAGTCTTTGAATCGAAATTAAATTAAATTTTAACTGAGGCACATGATAAACAGATTTTAATGTGAGGGGTCGACCAGATGAGGGTAATGCAACATCACCAATATTACAAATAGGCAAATGGGCACCATTAGCAACACTAACAGAATTAAAGTCAGTGTAGGGAGATTTATTAAGCAAAATACCTTCTGAGGCAGTCATGTGAGCAGAAGCTCCGGAATCCGGATACCATAGTGCAGAATTAGATTCACCGGGAGTAGTCAACAGAGCTGGCGCAGATGGTTGCTGGAAACGAGACGGACAAGTAATCGCAGAGTGACCTGCAGAGAAACAAATTTGACAGACGACAGGAGGAGGGACTGAACCAAGAATTCCCCTAGCTGGTGATAAGTCTGCAGACCCACGGTTAGTATCACAAACAGATAAGGCATTAATATTTAAATGTGACACGGAAGAATTACAAAATACAGTACCAGTGTGAGATGCACCCCCTGCGGCCGAAGTACCCCCTGCGGCTGGATAAGAACCGGCGGAAGCATAGAACTGGGGCGGAGCCTGTGTCGGATACCAGCCTGCCGGGGAACCATAGGGGACGGGCTGCTGTTCACGACCCCCACGACCGCGTCCTCCACGGCCTCTACCACCACGTCCGCGGCCACCTCGACCACGTTGATGATAGCCAGGAGGACGTTGCTGGACCTGTTGAGTGCCCTGTTGCTGTCCACCTTGCTGCTGATTGTCATGCGGCTGACCTGTCTGAACTCCGGGCGGAGGACTGTGCGCTCCGAAAGCTTGATGTACGGAGGTTTGTTCTTGTGACCGTAGATAAAGAACCCGTTGCTCTAATTCAAGAAGATGATTGCGAAGTGTCTCAAAAGGAAAGTGTTGAGGGAATAGAGACACTGTAGTGAACAATGACTCATACTCAGGTCCAAGCCCCATAATGGTGGTTTTCAAAACTTCTCGGGGAGGAACGGGGCAGTTGATAGTAGCAAGATCATCAACCAAAATTTTAATCTCTCGCAAATAATTATCCATGGACTGATCAGGTTTCTTTTTGAGTTGAGATAACAGACGCTTTAATTCCATAGAGCGAGCTAGACTAGCAGACATAAAACGAGATTCTAACCGTTCCCAAATTTCAAAAGAGTGTTTTAAGTCCCGAACATCTATAAGTACATCCCGAGAAAGAGTAGCAAAAAGCCAAGATCGGATGGTTTGATCAAGACGCAGCCATAAAGAAAATTCGGGATTGGGAATTTGTCGGTTTATAACATCTATGGAATAAGCAGGAGGTACCTGAATAGTGCCATCAATCATTCCTAAAAGAGCTTGCGAGACCAAAAAGGATTCAAATTGTGTCCGCCAAGTTGTGTAATCTTCCACCGCCAAAAGTTTGGTAGTAACAATGTTTGTGACATTGGTAGCCACATGGGATATATTTTGCACCAAGTCAGACAGAGAGGAGGCAGCCAGTGATGCGGATATTACTGGGCGAGTTGGTGGAACCGTGGAAGAAACCCCAGGGGAGCCAACGAACGTTGTTCCCGAAAACATGGGCGCTGAGAGCGGAGGGGGATCCAGGGTCACGTGTGGCACTGGTGTTGGTGCCGGCCAAGAGAATACCGGCGGAATGTTCTGGAAAAGAGAATAAGCACCAGCCGTACGCTGTGGTGAGACGAAGTTGGAAGAAAAGACGACTCCGGACGTGATGGATCCAATAGCCGGCTGCGTGCCTCGGTGAAGGGCGCCAGTGGTGATTGGTGAGGAGGGAGGAATATCATCAGGGATTGGCGTGGTTGATGAAGATGAACCGATAGCCATGGTGGAAGATATCACCGTTGAAGAAGAAGTAGAATGCATCGCGGAAGACATCGCGGCAGAAGAGGGGAACCGAAAAAAAATTTAGGGTTTATTCTGTGCTCTTGATACCATGTGAAATAATGGAACAGGATACCCCATAAGGAGTCCTGGCAGATATATTTATAGTAAAAGGTTTGAATATAAAAATACACAAATATCCTTATTTAACTAATCTATTAACCGGCTCACCGCACCATTCCAATCCCAGGTACTCGCTCAGCGAGATTTGAAATCTCTCCTTCAAAGCTCAATCGTCTTCGCCGTTTTCCTATGTGATTTTACTGTACTCGTAGTTGTTAGACCATTTGGAGTGGTGTGAGAGTCTAAATGTTAAAAATGGATTCCGTTCATACGAAAACAGTGTTTTGACTCTTATTTCTCTGCATTCCAGCACCTTCAATAAAATACACTCTGCGCATTTTTTTTACATATCAATTTAGTAAAACATTAATTAAATTATTATAAGTAATATTTTCCCTTTAATTTTTTCTCCGATTAATTATAAAATAAAAAAGACATATTTCGATATAAAAATAAATAAATTTCATTATTAATTTTTTTACGTTTCTCGGTTAACAAAAATGAACTTATTTCATGTTAAGTTAGATTATGAAATATTCACTTATTTGTGAAGGTTGCATGAATTAAAAATATGTGTTATATGATTTTTTAGGCTCAAGAAACCTTCAACAGTTAAAATTTCAAAACAAAAATCCATTTTATATATTACATATTGGTTTCATATGAAAGATCATAAAAAGTCATGAATTTTGATATATTTTTGGAAAAAATTGGAGAACAAATTAAAAAGTTATAAAAGATTAAAAGTTTTTGGGATTATAGTGACATCAGTATGGCATCACCGTGACGTCAGCGGAATGCATAACCTATGCACGAGGCGGCCTACTTTTTCTTTTTCTTTTCTTTTTCCTTTTCTTTTTCCCTCTCAATCCTCCCTCAATTTTTAGAACCCTCCATCCATTTATCCACTTCTACTCCCCTCTAACCCCACTAAATGAAATTAGGAGTCCAAAATTTCCATCTTTAACATTTTGGACTCCTAATACCTCACCACTCCAAGTGGTCTTAGGGATGACAATTGTGGCCGATCCGATGGATACCCGCACCGAATTGCTCCGGTCAAAACGGGGAAAACCGCATTGACCGGGTAACGGGTATGGGGCGGGGAATGCCCGTTTTATTTTTATGGGTAATGGGGCGGTTACGGTTTTATACATGCCCGCCCCATTACCCGCCCCATACCCGCCCGTTTGCTTTTAGTTATATTTTGATTACATTTTTTCATAGTATTTGTCCTATGCTTGATAAAATGTGACATTTTTCTCCTTTGAATGTGTATCTATGGATGCCCTAATAATGCCTATAACATGTGAACAATGTTCATAATAAATTTTAATAGTTTCGTTTGATTCTTTTCTTTTTTTCTTGAATAATTATTTTTCAATTTAAGTATTTTATGTTCAAATTAATTTAGGTTGCCTTTTTATGTCTTGTAGATGCACGAAACTTTTAAGTGACATCTCACGTCTAGAATCATTTAGGCGACATCTTTTTTTTGTCTTTTAAAATATTTATTTTTATATTAAAATATCAATGACATATCTAATAAAGTGGTAACCCGCGGTTACCCGTGATTTTACCTGTTACCCATTGGGGCGATTATGGTTTGGATAAAAATTACCCGTTGGGTAATGGGGCGGTTACGGGGCGGGGACATTACCCAACGGGGCGGGTACGGTTATATGCATAACCGTCCTCGATCCGCCGCATTGCCATCTGATCTCTAGACTAGTTGTTAGCATAAAAACCAGCCTTTCCAATTTCCAAATGAATGTTGGTTTCTCCTATACTACGGCCATCATTTATGATTTGGTTGCATCTTTATAGTTTCCTGCATTCAATAAGTTTCTTTTTTTGTTATATTGGCTAAGTTCTTATATCTACTTTGTATGCTCTCGTCAAGTTCTCCAATTTGAGGATTATGTATTTGTTTTAACTTTTAACTCAATTAGTCTTTACTTTTCATATTCTAAGGTTACCCCAGTTTCATATAATGGCGAGGAGTGATAGATTCAGTCAACTCCCAGAAGATATATTGGACCATATTTTGGGATTCTTGCCTATACAAGATATTGTTAGAACCACAGTTTTGTCTACCATATGGAGAGATCTATGGTTCACTCTAAGGCAGCTCTGCTTTGATCGTCGGTTCTTTAGCTACATTGACAAAAAAAATCGGACTAGCAAATATGTAAAGAAATCCTGCGCTTTCTATATAATTAACAAAGTTCTCTTGCAGCACAAGGGAACAATTCAGAAATTTGCCATTGATTTATCTCAAGTTTGGAAAGTTAGTATAAGGTCTCGATCTTTTGATTTTGATCAATGTTTAGATCTAGTCGTACGTAATGGTGTTCAAGAAGTCCACCTTCAATTCTGGGGTGAATCATACAAGCTGCCAAATTGTATATTTTCATGTTCAACAGTCAAGAGCTTGCATCTTTGTCGTATCAATATTGTACCAATAGATTTTCCTCACACACTACCGTATCTCACCTCACTATATTTTGAAGATATTCGTTTTGGTCCTGCTGATCTGCCATATTATGTCATTGATGTTCCCATGCTAAAGAACCTGTCATTTAGCAATTGTGGGGATATATCACCCTTCAAAGTTACTGCTAGAAATCTTTGTAATTTGACAATTAAAGATTGTTGTAGTAGCCAATTGTGCAGCATTTTCCCACTTGCCTCTAACTTGATATCTATTCGTACGCTTGATTTGCACTGCGAATCTCTCCAGGTATATCCCTAATTAAATTTTTTCTTTTGAACTTTGGTCTATTTAGCAAGGTTGTTAAAATCTCGATTTAAATCGTAAAATCGTACGATTTTACGATTCTACAATAATAAATCGATTCAAATCGCAGGTAAAAACGTAAAATCATAAAATCGTACAAAATCGTAACAAAATCGTACAAAAATCGTGTAGAATCGTATAAAATCGTATCAAAATCGTAGCAAAATCAGAATAAGTTTTTTTTTTTTGTGAAAATGGTTCAAATTTATTAAAATTAACTACTACAAATTGATACAAAATTTCAATAATAATAACATCAATAGTATATTTAAAAAAGTAATGGATTCTTGTGTTATTTAATTATTTTTACGTTTTACATATGTTTAATGTTGTTATTCACTCTATTTACAATATAAAAATAGTTTATAAATCTTGGTTTTGACCTTGTAGGTATAGTGGTATGTAATAAAATGACATAATACCATTAACTTGCAACTTAATTTTAATATTTATTTTTTTTATAATTATTAAAATATGTTTGATAAAATCTTACGATTTGCGATTCGATTTTACGATTCGATTTTCAAAAACATCTACCGATTCGATTCAAAAATACGATTTTAACAACCTTGCTATTTAGTTTATATATACTCCGTATTAATCCATACATTTGAAGCGATCCAACTTTAATTACATATGATTTCCATGCATTTTTTCGGAAACGTGTTTCTAAAGGGACTTCCACAAGAAACATATGCAACAAATGTTGAATTGCTGAAGCTTGAAGGTTTTCGTTTCCATAATGACGGTTTGACTTCTGCATTTGTACGCTTACTGTGCATATGCCCGCAGTTATGCAAACTTGAAATAACTTTTTCGGTAATATTTATTACTTCATTTTCGTGGACAATAGCTCTTTGTAATATTTTTGTTACTTGCTTTATGTGCTTCCTTACTGTGTAAAGTTGAACCATTGATTTTTATTTTCTTGCTTGCTTCTCTGAAGTGGACAGATATTAAGTGTCAAGAACCTACACCTGAGCTCTTGAAAAAACTTCGTTGCGTGGTTCAAGCATGCGGAAAGCTACTCTTTTTGAAACTTAGATTTTTTACGGGATTAAGGCTCGAAATACTTTTCATAAAGGAGATGCTGGGCTGTCTTCCCGCACTTGAAAAAGTTATCATCAATTGGCCTGGGTATACGATTGATGACAACCAGAAACATGAGATTATGGAAGAAGTTTTGCTTTCCCCACGTGCATCTATCAAAGCAAAGATTGTTTATTAGTGGCTATTTTACACTGTATCCATTATAGTTTTTGTATGAGTAGTGTTATGCACTTATTGACTTATGCCAAATATATCTTATTGTTTTGTGCCTAAAGTTATATGAATTGAATGACAATTCACTACAACAGTAAGTGCATTTCTCAATTGCATATTTGGGGCATTTGAAAAATCTTTTGTGAAGGTGGAGAAAATTAGTACGTGTAGTTTTTTGTGAATAGGGAGAGAAAGAGATCATTAGCAGAGTTATTTGTATGTGTAACTATCGTTCATGTCGGAAGGAAAATAAGCAACTAGACTCTTCTATTTTCAACTTCAAGCATCCTTCTTCGGTGTTGGTGATGTGCAAGTGTGCAACCGCTGCTACTCCCTCCCATCTTGGCCGGATCTACTTTGTTTTAATTAAAAATATGTCCTTGTATAGTTGTATGTAGTTTATTTTTAGGTTAGTTTTTTATAGTTTAGTCATTTATTCAGTGTTTTTATACCAAAAATAGTCCTCTATAATCGTGTTCGAAATATTAAATTTAGTTTAGGAACAATATCTTCTAATTCATACAATGCTGAACAACCAATAAAATTAGACAATGCAGATCAATTCAACACAAGTTTTCAGTTTCCACTTGTATTAAGAAACAGACTTTTTTTTGTGACTATGGCTATGTTTGGTACAATTAGTTGAAAAGATACTTTTGTGAGCTTTTAAATAACTGTTGGCTTTTAGTGACTGAAAAGATCTTAAAAAGAAAAATGTGGTAGCTGTTTGGTAAAAAGCTGACAGTTTCATTTAGTTCGGTTTGGTACACAAGCTGTTATGACAATAGGACTAATTAGTACTAAAGCTGTTTAGTCTAAAAGTCACGGGCTTTTCTTAGATGCTACTCTCTGTATCATATCAAAAAAGATTTTTTAATTTTTGAAAAGTCCTTAAAAATTGGCATGCCAAATATACCACTAGAAGTTTTTAGAGACTTTTTGAAGGTACAAAAGCTAGAAGACATGAACTTATGCCTGCTAAACATAGCCTATCTCTTACCGAAAAACTTCTATCATGATTAGGGGAGGGGTGAAAAGTAATACTAAAATCCAAAATACCGTCATTTATTTATTTATTTATATTGTACTGTACCAAAATTCTAAAATTGTAAAAATGATTGAAGCACAATATCAACTTAAGTTTAAATGAATTTACATCCATATTGCTTGAGTTATTTGTACTCATTTTTATGTAGATCACAACTAGTTTATTAATATCTATGTTGTTTAAGTCATTTTAGGAGAACATGTTATTTTTTTCATATTTCATTGTTGAGACATATTTATAATATAATTCGTAGCTCTTATTCAATGTTGTTTAAATCTTTGAAATGGTGAAATGTTGAACATGACATAAACTAATTTATTATTGATATCTTTTTAATTAATCTTATTAAATATTTGAGTATATCATCACTACTAACATTGGTTTTGTATATTTTATTTGGGATATAGTAATTTGTTATATTAAATTTCATGTATAACATAATATTTTACCGATGTCTTACCTTTACCATACCGAAATTTTGGTATATCGAAACACAGTATACATGCAAGTTGTACGGGGAACAGTGTTCCTAATGTGTGTAATTGTTAATGTGTTTCTTGTACTTAATATTGTCTAACCCTTCCTAAGACTGAAAAGGGTGTTTTTTAATTTATAGTTGATGTTGTTTCCAGATTATGTCTTTTGATGCAAGAGGTTTGTTACTTGGTTTAATAATTGCATATACTCTGATTTAAAAAAAAATCATATCGCTCCATGTACTTGCATTTGGAACTCTGAAACTTATACGATCTCTAATGAATTCCCTATGAGTTCTTGTTCCCGTTAAATTAACAGTGAATCACTTGATATTCAAAATTTCAAAGTAGTATTGAAATGGACGTTTGTAGACTTAAATATACACACAAAATGCATTTCCTTCTGCCTTATATCCTGCCTGTGATTTTGATAGTGTTCAAATAATTTCTACATCACTTAGTTAAGAATTTTGCCAGGGTCATAAGTACAAGGTAGTTTCATTTTTGGAAGTTAAAGTGAAGGTGGTTATAGTAAGACGAAGTATGTGGTGATTAGTCATATTTCAGCATTTGACAGAAACATAGCAGACAACTAAGGGGGTGTCCCCAATTATGACTTGATGGGGTTTAAAAGATATGAATTTTGAAATGTGAGGGGAGTCTATAAGATTGTGGTGGATTGTTTTTGTATGTAGAATCCATCAAAATCCATTAAAATCCATGCAAATAAGTGACAATAGAAATCCATGGAATGTTTGAGGGCACCCTTATTTTCATGAATTCCACAGAAATCCAAATCGGGGACACCTAAATTCTAACGGAATTCTAAACTCCATTAAAATCCTCCAGAATCCAAATTGATCGAGGACTCCGCCTAATTGTAGTTTACAAATGTATTTGATGAATGAAGTGTGTTTGTGGAAAATGGAATTAGATCAACATGAAAGTAATGAACAATTGCAGCCGATAAATAAGTATTCTTCCGTCCCACTAAATTCTTCCAACTTTCATTTTTGGGCCGTCCCAATAATTCTTCCAACTTCCACTTTTGGGAAAATTGTGTAACACCGTCCCCAAATGTATTTACTTTTAAGTGAATAAAGTATTGAACCTTATGGAACAGTTAACGAATATTCGAAGTTGTGAATTTTTATTAATGTTTTTGCGTGAATCGTAAATTCGCACGTGAGGCCCGCATCGGGAGCGGGGGCCGCCCGATATTCCCGGGACCATATATTTTATTCATCTTGGTCTAGATAATATTTATATGGTGGTGGGCATCTCATTTGAGCAATGGAAAGGCCCAGAGTTGACCGATTGGTCAAAAGAGGCCCAAATCCCGGTATTGGTAATTTAACCGATAAAAGCCCGAAATTGGATTTCGGGGACTTATAAATTAAAGTTTGGGAATGTATATTCATTATAAAGGGTATAATGATTAAGAGCACATAATATATTTTATTTGACCCGATAAAATAAAATATATTTAAAACAGTCCGAGAAATACAACTTTCGGGACCAATTGTACACTTCGGGACAAATTGGGATGACCTCCAACAGGGGTGGGGGCCACCCCACGAAATTGTCAACCAACAAAGGTTGATTGAGCCCAAAAGTGGGCTGGAGACTATTGAGGAGATGGGGGAGACACCTTTGACATCAAAAGGGGCCCTCTCACCCCATAATTTCCCAAAGAAAACAAAAAGAAACACACCCCCTCTTTCCTCACTCAATCACTTCGGCCAGCACCAAGGAAAAGGGGAGAAAGAGCTCTGAAAACTCATCCTCCATATCCAAGAACCGAGCTCAAGAAGGAGTAGCCCAAAAGAAGGTGTTTTGAGAAGGAAAAAGCTAGGGGAAAGTGAGAAAAGTGAGGTAATGGCCTTATCATAGCTTCTCCTTTATTTTTTCTTCTACCATATGAGATATATATCATATGGAGAACCTTGAGGACTGTTCTACATGATCTAAGTGTGAAATAATGGGTTGGAAGGTGGTTCTATGTCCAAAAACGGACTTAGAAGCCAAAACGACCGATTCACCGGAAATTAACCTTTTAGAGGTTATTTGTATTGATTAAGGTTTTATGGTGTTAAAACCTTGTTAGGAACTTGATTAAAGTATTTTTGAGCTTCGCCAGAGTTTTGCCGGAGTTGGTCAAAGTTCACCGGAGTTGGTCAAAGTTCCACCGGGAAGCGGAGAACGCGCTTAAGCTCACTCGAGGTGAGGATGACCGACTATATTGCTTATAATTATTGGGTTAATTTCATAAGATTACCTAAATGAATTATATGTGTTTGGCATGATGTATTTATAATAATAAAATGCCTAAATGAGATTTTTATTGTTTATAAGCAAAAATGCATAATATACAAATTTATGAATAAATTATGTATGATTATGTGTTATGAATACAATGGTATAATAGTTGTGTAAACTATAAACTAAATTGTGATAAATATACTTTTACCTCATGTAAGGAAGTCATGGAAGGATAAAAGTGATATTTTGATATTAGAGCCAAGTTATACTTGAATGTGGAATTTAATTGAGATATTCAAATTATTATGAACTTAAGTTACATTTGGAGTAGGCCTTAAGGGTTACTCAAAATGGATGGAACCTAGACTAAGAAGTGGTTTAGGGATTAGTTGACGTGACTATGACCCGAGCTCTAGCACGTGGTAGCATGACTATGAGCCGAGCTCTAGCAAACGTAGGGTGACTATGAGCCGAGCTCTAGCACAAATTAGTATGACTATGAGCCGAGCTCTAGCAAATGTAGGGTGACTATGAGCCGAGCTCTAGCACAATTTAGTATGACTATGAGCCGAGCTCTAGCAAATGTAGTGTGACTATGAGCCGAGCTCTAGCACAATTTAGCATGACTATGAGCCGAGCTCTAGCATGAAGGAACATGAGTTAAGTACAAATGAATAACATCTTGGATTGAGGGTCTTGGAAATTGAAACTTTGATTATACTTAGTATAGTTGTCATTGTACTTGTTAAATGCTTCCAAGTACTGACCTCCCTGTTAATATATTATTGGCCCAAATAGCCTTTGTATATTAATAATAGTTGACAACCTATTCAGCAACCCACTACTCTTACTCCAGTTACCGAACTTGTTTTGTACCAAGTCTATTTCTCCCGTTTGAATTTGAACTCAAATAAGTGAGATCAAATAAGTGAGGTGTGTGATTGTGTTGTCCCTTGCACCGTCCAATCACTTGAGCTAATAAGCCAAATCTTCTTTATTATGAGACTTCCCTGCATCCTACTTCATGTGCTATTGTTCTCTACCGACAGTTGCTCCTTCCTTGCTCTAGCTGTATATATCCACCACCTCTTGAAGCTTTTTGAGATAGACTGTGAGAACTCCTTCTTTGTGAAGCTGAGTGAGAGGAGTGTTGAGAAGGTAGAATAGGTTGTTGCTCCCTTAGCCTTGGTGTGCACAAGGAGACTACCGGAAACCGATCTCCGGCGACCTGAGCCGAATCCGGCAAGACAGAAACGGATCCACAACAGTGGTATCAGAGCCAAGGGCTGTCTCCGCCGTCGATTTCGCTGAATTCCTACGTACGCCGCCGTCCGCCGTCCGCTCGCCGCCGTCCGCCGCTCGCCGCCGTCCGCCACCGTCCGCCGCCGGTTGAAGCTATTGGAAGAACCGCCGCATCTGGACCGTTGTTTTCCGTTGCCTTTCTCAGACGATTTAGAGTCTTGGAAGACCCCGTCGCCGGAAGTCAGTCGCCCGGCGCTGATAGATTCCCACAGACAGAGGAGTTCTTCCGTCGCTCTTCGTTCACCACTGCATCTGCTGCTGGGACCTGCTCGGTGGTTGCTGCTTATCGTTAGCCACCACCTAGGAGCTGTTGATTTCCGTTCGTTGTTGGTCCTTAGGAGCCGTCGCCTGGAAGTTCGCCGCCGCAGGGATCTGCTCGACGGAAGTTGAAACCGGAATCCACCATCGCCGCCTTGCCGGAAGCTGTTCACCGAAGGTCACTCATCGCTGTCTGGTGTTGTTCGTCGCTGCTCTTTCTTCTCTCGCGCAGAAGTTGAAGACGAAGGATGCTGGTTGTTTCCGTATCTGGAGGGACGAAAGCTTGGGCCCCTGTTTTACTGTAGCTTGGCCATAAATCTTGAGCAGAGGTTTCTTGCGTAGAAGGAACGCAGTTAACAAACCCTTGAGCTGGATTTCATTTGGAGCTGGACGTAGGCAGGCCTTTGGACTGGACTTGAAGGTGTACTTGGGCTGGACAACTCTCTTCAAAAGTTGCTGGACGAACTTGGACTTTGGAGTATGGCGGATGCCTAGGATTTGGTCAAAATTCAGTCAACTGTCCATCAACCATTCCAAAATCCCTTTGTGGGTGGGTAAGGACCAAACACTCTCCTAGTGTTTGGCTACTGTAAGTTTTCTTTAAATGAAATTTCATTTACTGTTTTTCATTTAATTTAAACTGTTAAAATTTATTGTTGATTTAATACTTGCTAGAATTATATTTATTTGTGCTATTGTTTAGCCCTATAAATATAGAACTGTTTTTCTAGCTATAGTTGCATATTTTTATTTTTACTTTTGTGTGTTAATTTTCTGTGTGAAAATGTCTTCATTTAATCAGTACGGAATGGCTCCATTTAATGGAAAAACTGATTTTAGCATATGGAAACAGAAAATAAAATGCATATTAGTTCAACAAAAATCATATAGGGCAATTAGTCAAACCTATTTGACTTCCGATACGGAAGAGAAAAAGGCAGAAATGAATGAAAGTGCGTGTTCTATAATTTACTTGAACTTATCTGATTGTGTGCTCAGAAAAGTAGGAATTTTAGAATCTGCCAAATCTTTGTGGGATAAACTTGAAGAGCTTTATACTGAAACCTCTCTACCGAGTAGAATGTTCTTACTTGAAAAATTTTTCAAATTTAGACTTGACATGTCTAAAGATATTGAAGAAAATCTTGATGTTTTCACAAAACTTATTTCCGATATTAAGTTGTCCGGTGACAAACACATAGATGATTATACTCCCATTGCTTTATTGAATGCCATACCTGATTCTTATAGTGATGTTAAATCTGCCATTAAATATGGTAGAGATAATATAACGCTAGATATTGTTGTTAATGGTCTCAAAAGCAAAGAGTTAGATTTAAAGCAATCTAGGGGAAGTAAGAATTCGGGTGAGGTGATGCATGTTAGGGGTAGACCTCAGAATAGGTCTCATAACCAAAAATATGCTAGTAATGGAGAATCAAGCTTTAGGAAGAATTCTGCGAATAGGAAGGGTAGATCTAAGTCTAGATCTAAGGCCAGAAAATGCTATAATTGCCATGAATTTGGTCACTTCATTAAGGACTGTCCTAAGCCTAAGAAAAATCAGCATAATGAACATGCTAATGTGGCTTTTGGTGAAGAAAAATTGGGTGATATTTTTATGGTTAATAATCTTTGTGATCATGCATGTGTTAATTCTGTGCTTTCTAATTCCCTATGTGAATCTGATTGGTTAGTTGATTCCGGTTGTACTTTTCATATGACTCCCTTTGAAAATCTTTTTTCAAATTATAAGAAAATTGAAAATGGCTATGTGTCTATGGCTAATGAAAAGAAATGCAACGTTTTAGGAACTGGTGATGTATGCCTTAGATTTTCTTCTGGCTCTGTGTTCACTTTGAAAGATGTTAGGCATGTTCCTGATTTACGTTATAATTTGCTTTCATGTGCATCCCTTGAAAATGAAGGTTTTGAGGGAAAATGGGGGAAAGGGGTTATGAAAATCATGAAAGGATCTCTTGTTATTTTTACTGCTGAAAAGAAAAATAACTTGTATGTGTGTCAAGCTGAACCTGTACCTGATTATGTGTACTCTGTGATAGGTGATAAATCTATTTTATGGCATAATAGATTAGGTCACATGAGTAATAAGGGATTAGATATTTTGCATAAAAATGGTCACTTTGGTAGTGATAAATTATCTCCTATTGAATTTTGTGAATCATGCGTGTTAGGAAAACAACATAGGGTTAGCTTCCCTATTTCTACTTTTCCTAATCAATCTAAGTGTGTTGACATACTTGAGTATTTGCATGCTGATGTGTGGGGTCCCTCTAGTGTTCCTACGCAAGGAGGGAATCAATATTTTCTTTCCATTATTGATGATTATTCTAGGAAAGTTTGGGTTTTGCTCATGAAACAAAAATCTGAAGTTTTTGAAAAATTTAAAAACTGGAAAATCATGATAGAAAACCAAACAGGAAAGAAAATTAAAGCCCTTAGGACAGACAATGGACTTGAGTTTTGTAATAAACAAATGAATGATTTGTGTGCTACTTGGGGTATAAAAAGACATAAATCTGTTCCTTACACACCCCAACAGAATGGGGTTGCTGAAAGGATGAATAGATCTCTCTTAGAGAGGGTGCGGGCCATGTTGGCCACATCTGGGCTCTCTAAGAAATTTTGGGGGGAAACGCTTAATACCGCTGCTTATTTAATTAATAGGTCCCCGTCTGTCCCCTTAGGAGGGAAGTGCCCAGAATCTGTTTTCACGGGCAAGAAGCTTGATTTGACGAACTTAAGAGTGTTTGGATGTGCGGGTTATGTGCATCAAAAGATTGATAAACTGGAACCTAGATCTAAGAAGTGTGTTTTCTTAGGGTACCCAGAAGGGGTAAAGGGTTATAGGCTTTGGGATAGGAGTGAACCAGGGTTTAAAGTAGTTATAAGTAGAGATGTCATTTTTAATGAAAATGAATTTCCTTGTTTGACTTTACCTGTGCATGTTCCTCATAATGATGCTCCTAATGAGGTGGAGCAAGTGCCTGTTAAATTTCAATCTGAATTTTCTGCTAAAAATGATTTGCATGAAAATGTTCTTGAAAATCAAGGTGAGAGTACTTCGAATGAGGTGGAGCATGATATTCATGATGAGAATGATTTTTCTGAAAATGATGATTTGCATGACTATCAACTTGCTAGGGATAGAGATAGAAGGGTTATTAGGAAACCAGAAAGATATAGGGATTGCAATTTGATTAATTGTGATATATCTGAGTTTGCCTTTAACATATTTGAATCCCTTGAATGCAATGAACCTAGGACTTTTAAAGAGGCTTTAAAGTCTAAATATTCCAAAGAGTGGATTAGTGCTATGAATAGTGAAATGGAATCCCTTAAAATTAACCAAACTTGGAAACTTGTTTCTAGACCCGCTAATTGTTCCTTAGTGGATTGTAAGTGGCTATTTAAGGTTAAGCAAGAATCTGAAAATGTGAGGTTTAAAGCTAGATTAGTAGCTAAGGGATTTACTCAAAAGGAGGGAATTGATTATGCTGAAATTTTTGCTCCTGTTGTCAAGTTCACCACCATTAGAATTATACTTGCTTTAGTTGCTCATTTTAATTGGGAATTAAAACAGATGGATGTAACTACTGCTTTTTTGCATGGTGATCTTGATAAGAATATTTATATGCACCAACCTGAGGGTTTTGTTGACCCTAAATTGCCTGACCACGTGTGTTTGTTGAAAAAAGCTTTGTATGGTTTAAAACAATCACCTAGGCAATGGAATATTAAATTTGACAAGTGCATGCAATCTTTAAAATTTTCTAAGAGCTCCGCCGATCATTGTTTGTATTATAAAAATATTGACTCCGCGCCTATATTTTTATTACTCTATGTGGACGACATGTTAATTGTTAGTCCTTGTTTGAAGTCTATTGAGCATGTCCAAAAATCTCTTTGTGAAAACTTTGACATGAAAGACTTAGGTGATGCTAGGAAAATTTTAGGCATAAGCATTATCAGGGATAGAAAGAAATCTACTCTAGTGTTAAATCAAAGATCATACATTCATAAGGTTTTGAGTAAATTTTCTATGTCTGATGCTAAATCTGTGAATGTGCCTCTTGCTTCTCATTTTGTGTTAAGTAAGGATCAGTCCCCCAAGACTGAAACTGAAATGAATGAAATGAAAAATGTGCCTTATTCGAATGCTATAGGATCTGTCATGTATCTCATGGTTAGTACTAGGCCCGACATTGCATATGCGGTTAGTTGTTTGAGTAGATACATGTCTAATCCTGGAATGCCTCATTGGAATGCTTTGAAATGGCTTTTAAGGTATTTGAAATATTCTATGGATGTTGGTTTGACTTTTTCTAAGTGCTCTGAAGGTGTTAAATTAATTGGCTATGTTGATTCCAATTATGCTAATGATAGAGATAATAGAAAGTCTACAACTTCTTATGTGTTTACTTTGTGTGGCTCTTGTGTAAGTTGGAAATCCCAACTTCAACCTATTGTTGCTCTATCTACTACTGAGTCTGAGTATGTAGCTGCCACAGAAGCTTTCAAAGAAGCTATTTGGCTTAGAGGTCTTTTGCATGAAATTAATTTTCTTGGCAAAAATGTGATCATATTTTCTGACAGTCAATCTGCTATTCAACTGTGTAAAAATCCTGTTTTCCATGATAGGACTAAGCATATTGATGTTAGATTTCATTATATTCGAGATATTGTTGAAAAGGGAATTATAAAATTAGAGAAAATTCCTTCAGAATTTAATCCTGCTGACATGGGTACTAAATGTTTACCTGTTGAAAAATTTGTTTCGTGTCAAAAGATTTTAAATTTTGATTTTGGATGATTTGTTCTGTGTTGCATCGGTTTACTATTAACGTACCTAGTGTTTGTTAATAGTTTGGTGTTGGTGTCCCTTCGAACTCGATGACCATTATGGTAGAGTAAAGTCCTTTATGGACTCGGCAAGCTTGGTGTGTTGGCCCCTTTGTGATCCGAGAATACATGGGGTATTCTCTTATATTACTTGTATAATCTTTGCGATAATACTTGTAATAATTCGGCGATGATGAGTCCGCGGTTCCGTGAATTGTCTCAGTGCACTACCTTAGGCCAAAGGTGGAGATTGTTAATATATTATTGGCCCAAATAGCCTTTGTATATTAATAATAGTTGACAACCTATTCAGCAACCCACTACTCTTACTCCAGTTACCGAACTTGTTTTGTACCAAGTCTATTTCTCCCGTTTGAATTTGAACTCAAATAAGTGAGATCAAATAAGTGAGGTGTGTGATTGTGTTGTCCCTTGCACCGTCCAATCACTTGAGCTAATAAGCCAAATCTTCTTTATTATGAGACTTCCCTGCATCCTACTTCATGTGCTATTGTTCTCTACCGACAGTTGCTCCTTCCTTGCTCTAGCTGTATATATCCACCACCTCTTGAAGCTTTTTGAGATAGACTGTGAGAACTCCTTCTTTGTGAAGCTGAGTGAGAGGAGTGTTGAGAAGGTAGAATAGGTTGTTGCTCCCTTAGCCTTGGTGTGCACAAGGAGACTACCGGAAACCGATCTCCGGCGACCTGAGCCGAATCCGGCAAGACAGAAACGGATCCACAACACTCCCCTTCACGGGGGAGGCCACCTCACAGTTTCAGGTAGGGAGTAGAGCTTGCTACTACCGCTCGTTGCTTCGGGGAATTCAAGGAGGAAGGCGGGGTTCGTACTTCTCCTGTTTCTGTTTTGAAAACAATTTAAATAATGCTCATGGATATTATTTTGAATATTTATTTGGGGGCTTGTATGCCCGTGGTTGCCACGTGTGGCTTGAATATTTGTAATTATGTTTCCGCTGCTTAATTAAATATTTTACGTTATGATTGTTTATGGATGTACTATGTGTGAATGGTATTCAAGACGCCTAGTATAGTATGGATGAGTTGGACTGCGGTTGACTATTCGTACTGTACGGCGGGTTGTTGACGTGTCCGGTAGGTCCGGGGCGTGACAATTTATGTGGTTCACAATAATTCACCTTTTTCTTACACAACTACAACCATACATTCCCACTTTATTCTCACTTCCTAAATTTGCGAACCAAGTTTGACTTGGAAGAATTTATCTTATAATAACTAGAAGTCCAGGACGACAAAAGTAATAGGTATGGAGGGATGTACCTTCTTTGTAGAGTAGCACTAAGGCCAAATAAGATGATAGGAGCAGCGGCAAACAGAGAGGAGAGTGGATGAGCAACATTTGGCTGAAGTTATTCGGTTAAGGCGAGTAACTGTTGTTGGCTATTGGAAGTGAAGTCACTGCATACACTGATTCGGTGTCGGGTTAACGACTTAATATAATAGCCGTTTTTTAAACATCGGAATAGCTTGTTTAAAGGAAAAGAGCTGAATTGGCTTTTAAAATTGGGAAAAGAACAAATATACCATGTAGCATGGGTGTGAGAACAAATATATCATTGTTCTATTTTTTTGGAACAAATCCCGAAGTATATGTTGAAATGCATATAACCCCTAAATTTTAAATGAGACAAATACCCCTCATATTCTTATAAGAGAGCAAATTTACCCTTTATTGACTTTAAATTGATAAAATAAATGTCATAAACAACAAAATAAATTATAAATTTGAAATTAAAAATTTAAAAATAAAAAATTTTAAAAATGTACTTCCCCCATTCTCTTTTAATTGCAACAGTCAACATATCACGTTTGCCAACGCACAAGTTTTACCATCAATATCTTTCATTTTTTATTAGTAAAAAAAATTAAAAAATTCATAATTTGAAAATTTAGAATGAGAAGAATTTAACAATATTTTTTAAAAATTTATTTTATAATACATTAATAAATAAAATGTAGTCAAAGTAGAATATGTGAATAGTGCAAAAAGTCCAATGTTGCAATTAAAAGAGAACTGAGGTAGTACTTCTGTCCAATTCTCCCTTTTATTATTTGTATATCACAATTTAATATTGTTAGTATAATTTGTTTTTCAAAACTTTAGTATATATTCAGGATTCTTTCGAAAAAAGTGTTAATATATGTGTTGCCATGTAATGTTTTTTTGCATTCTTTGCACTATAATATCACATATTTTTGTATGATGACAAATAGTCCAAGGTTACAAAATGTGAATATAATTTTATTAAGGTTAAAAAAATCAAAGCATGTTATTTTTAAAAATTTAACAATGTGTTCAGAATTTCACAAAAAGACTAAAATTAAATTTAATGAATTTGAAGTGCTTCATTTACAACAAAAAATAGCAATTTGCAATTTGAAATTAGAAATATAATATTTTAACATAATAATAAATCTTTATTTTTAAATTTTGAATTTATAATTTATTTTTGGTGTTTTTTGAAATTTATTATATCTATTTAAAGTCAATAAGAGTAAATTTGCTCATTTATAAGAATATGACGAGTATTCTTGCACTTTTGAAAAGATCAGGGGTACATATGCACTTCAACGTATATTTTAGGGGTATATTTGTTTCGAAAAATAGAACATGAGTATATTTGTTCTCACACCCATACTACAGGGTATATTTATGATTTTTTCCTTTAAAATTTGACATGGGGAGATATTTGTTTAACGGGAGATGACGTTTATTATATAAGGAGAGATATAAAGAATACATTTTCTCTCCTAAAACGAATACCCATCAAAGGTAGGGATGGGCAAAAATACCGAACCGGGCCAGTATGGTACGAGACCAAAACGATATTTGAAATGGTTTTAAAAAAATTGTCCTGAACCGGATCATACCGATTTCAAACCATTCCATGACTGGTTCTCATAAAATGAGAATCGATACTTCAATTATATAATTTATACAATTAATAATTATATGTACATGTATTCGATTACTTCAATTATTGCCTTTGCACTTTCATAAACCTTGGTCGCTGCTGGTTGCTGGGGGCGGATCTTCATGGGGTGAAGCTCAACCCAATATTTCGTATTTTTTATTATAGGTATAATAAATTTAACAAAAACTAGTATTCAGCCCAAACAGTTTGCAGTTGCGGTCTACAGAGTTTATTTCAAACTAGTACTCCGTATTTTCTTATTTATGTTTCTTACTACTATAGTTTATCTGAAATTTATTAATTACTATATATAATATGAAAATTGATAAATTGCGTGTATTTTTAGCGGATGGTTGAATTTTAATTTTCCAGAAAAAGTGACATTATTTGATATTAGTATGACATGATGTCGTTCTGTTTGAAAATAGAACCGTATCAAACAATATTAAGTCTAAGACCGAATAGTTCCGAATCATTTCCGAATACGAGTTCGACAAAATATTGGACCAAATCAGACCACAGACTCTACCCACCCCTGATCAAAGGCTCACACAATCAAATGAATTAATGAGGCGAGAGAAATCGATATCCTTCTGCACCATTCCAATCCCAGGCAGACGCTCACCGAGATTTGAAATATCTCCTTAGAAGCTCAATCGTCTTCGCTGTTTCGGTTTCAGGTTTCTGGCATTTATTGTATTTATTAGTTTAATAAACCAGGCCTTAGGTATGAATATTGGTTTCTGCAGTCTATTGGGTCCAGATTATCAGTTTCTCCTGTACTACGGTAATCATCTATGATTTGGATGGCTGGATGCATCCTTTATGTATTAATTATTAATAAATTAATTAAATAAGAAGTTTTTGGGTAGTTCTCTTGGTTTTATATCTACTTTACATATCCTCGTCAACTTCTCCAATTTCAAGATTATGTCTTTGTTTTAACTAATAACTCATTCAGTCTTTAATTTGCATATGCTAAAGGTAGCCAAGTTATATATAATGGCGAGGAGTGATAGAATCAGTCTGCTCCCAGAAGATATATTGGACCATATTTTGGGATTCTTGCCCATACAAGACATTGCTAAAACTGCAGTTTTGTCTACCATGTGGAGAGATCTCTGGTTCACTCTAAGGCAACTTTGCTTTGATCGTCAGTTCTTTCGCTACTTTGACAACAAATGTAAGGCTAGCAGATATGAAAAGATATCTTGCGCTTTCTATACAATTAACAAAGTCATCTTGCAGCACAAGGGAACAATTCAGAAATTTGTCATTGATTTATCTCATGTTGGGGAACGCACCATCAAGTCTCGGTCTTATGATTGTGATCAATGGTTACCATTAGTCAAATCTAAAGGTGTTGAAGAACTCCACCTTTTTTTTAAGCTTACACCATACAATTACAAGCTGCCGAATTGGGTATTTTCATGCTCAACACTCAAAGGATTGCATCTTGGTGGTTTCCGTATTGAACCCACAGAATTTCCTTCCACATTATCCAATCTTACCTCACTATATTTACATGCTGTTTGTTTTGGTCCTACGAATCTGCCTTGCTATGTTGTTGATGGTCCAATGCTAAAGAACCTATCATTTAGTAGTTGTAATAGTATAGCACCCTTCAAAATCACTGCTAGAAGTCTTAGCAGTTTGACGATAAAAAATTGTTTCAATAGAGACTCTGGCAAGATTCTCCCAATCGCTTGTGACTTGATATCTATTCGTACTCTTGATGTGGACTATGGTTCTCTTGAGGTATTTTCTCTGAACCGTTTCTTTGGGACTTCGATCTATGTATATTATACTCCGTATTATTTCATACATTTGAAGTGATCCAACTTTATTTCAATTTGATTTCCATGTATTCTCTTGGAAAACGTACTATAAAAGGGATTACCAGTACAAGCAAATGCAATCAACCTGGAATTGCTCAAGCTATCGAAATTTCGTTTCCAAGACGATGTTACGACTTCTGCATTTGTTCGGTTACTATCCATATGCCCGAAGTTATGCAAACTTGAAATTACATATGCGGTAATTTTTATTACTATGCTACGTACTTCATTTTCATGGACAATATTTTGTAAGATTCTAGTAGCTTCAACTATCTTCTACATTGCTTTTCACAAATCTATAATGCGTAAAGCCGATGAACTAATGTTTATTTTCCTTCTGCCTTTATGAAGGGGACAGATGTTAACTGTATAGAATCTCTATCGGAGCTCTTGAAAAACCTTCATAGTGTGGCTCAAACATGCAAAAAGCTTCTCTTTTTGGAGCTTAACTTATACAAGGGAGAATGGGCTGAAATCCTTTTCATAAACGAGATGTTGGCCTCTCTTCCAGCACTTGAAAAAGTTACCATCACATGTAGTGGGCCTAGAATGAAAAGTAAGATTTTAGAAAGAGTTATGTGTTTTGCTCGCACATCTACTAAAGCAAAAATTGTTATTTATCCAAGTTGAATAAACTACTACGTAGTAGAAACTAGAAATCATTGATTTGTATGAGCGATGTGCAAAATCGGTGGCAGTTTTTTGTGTTTAGTTTACACCGTTCCCCGGGTTACTTTTGTATGAAAGAATATGTTATGTTATGCACTCTTGTCATATGTATGTCATTGTTAAAGAATAATACGGAGTAGCAAGTTTTCATGGAGGTGGCGAGTGGGCACCACTTACATGAGCTGACTCATTTGTGGCCACCCATTAGGATGGGGTAAAAATGGGGTACTCCATTTTGGGGTGCCTTAAGCATTTTACGAGGAAAAAAATCCTTTGCATTGTCTCCATTTAGACACGAGTTACACAATAACTACCATACAACAAGGGTCCATAACAATGCAGTCACTAGATATGCCACACTCTTGGCTTCTGCAGAGTACATGTTTTTAACTTCTACCGACATTTCTACAAACAGCCTTCCAAGTTACCCCCATCTGCAAATATATATAAAAGTATAAAAGTATAAATTTTATACTTTTATGAAAGTATAAAATTGGTCAAAGAACATTTTCATATTATAAATAATTCTCAATAAACATATACAATTGGTCAAAGTTTGAAAGATGACTAAACATTTTGGGACGAAGGTATTAGTAAGGGATGTTTTTACTACACATTAAGTCAAATTAATTTATAAGGTAGCCAATTTAACAACATACATTTACTAAAATGTTGGCATATTTTTCTCCGGTGATGGGAGCTGGTGGTGCTGGGGGTGGCAGGGGTGGTAATGTTTTTTTTTTAATTTTATGATTATTTTTTTATTTTTTTTTAAAAAAATATTTTTTTTTCATTTTTTTAAAAATTATTTTTATTAATTTTCTATTATCTTTTTACGATTTTTAGTATTTTTTTTCGATTTTTATTATTTTTGTATGATTTTATTATTAATTAAAACATTTCACAAGTTACAAGGGTATATTTGGCTAAACACACATAAATAGTCCTATTAAGGGAATTTAAAAAATGTAGTCCTATTTGTGCAATTTTGCCACTTTTTAGTCCTATTTAGGGAATTGACTCAATTTCCAAGTACTTTAATAAAATAACAAGTGTATTTAATTTATTAAAATATAGGAGTAATGAAATTCGAATACTTTGAGTGTGTTTATTAAAATAACAAGTGTGTTTACTAAAATAACAAGTAATTTATTAAAATGTAACATTTAACTAGTTTTATACTTTGAGTATTTAGAAAGGTAGCAATTAAGCAGTTTAAAAACAAGCACAATTAAAGTATTAAATGCAACAAGTGTATTAAATATTAATTAACTAATAGGATAATGAGAAATGTAACAATTAACTAGTTTAAATCTTCAAAAATTAAATGAGAAAAGTATTAATTAACTAATAGGATAATGAGAAATGTAACAATTAACTAGTTTTATACTTTAATGATAAATGTAACAATTAATAAAAAATGTAAGTAATAGAAAAAATTAATGAATGTGTATAATAATTAATAGGAGTGTGAGTTTATAAGTAATTAAGTAGGATGAATTTAATTACTATGAATTCAAGGGTAACTAATATAATTGTATAACTAATATAGTATATAATATATAAGTATATTACTATAAGATGAGTAATACACTTATATTTAATACTTTAATATATATAAGTAAATAACATTAAGTATAGATAATTAGTAGATATCAAAGTAAATATTAAGAAGATAATAAGTATATGTTAAGTAGATAATAAATATTAGTAAGTAGATAATAAGTATATGTTAAGTAGATAATAAGTAGATAATTAATATATAAGTAGATATAATAATAATTAAATAAATAATATGTATAAGTAGAGAGAATTGGAGAAGATGAAGATGGAGATGATTGAGTATTTAAGTTATTGAGTATGAGAGAATAGAGAATTAGAGAGTAGGATTGTATGAAGATGGTGTAAAAAATGTATACAAAATAGGAGTATAAATAGGATTTTTTGGTATCCCCACCCCCAAAACCCCCCGGACCCCCCTCCTAGGCCTGCAACGGCTATAGAGCCGTTTGGGAATAGTCCCAACGACTAGTTAGGAGGGCAACAATTATTAATTTTTTTTTAAGTAACAGTTATGGCCCGGACCGGGCCTGGCCTGGCCGGGCCGGTTCATCATTTATAGGGCCCGAGCCCGGACTGCTATACGACCGGGTCGGGTGGCCTGAACCGATACCCAGACCTGTTCGCCTGGCTGGGCCGGGGCACCGGGCACAAACAGTACCGGTCCGAGCTGGTTCCGGGTCGGTTGGCCACTTGGCGTGACCCGAGTCCACCACTAAGTAAACATGTGGGAGGACATGTAGCTTTTTTATAATTAGAAGAGAAAGAATGGAACGGGTAGCACCATTATAATCAGAATATTCATTTACCTATTTTAGTGGGATCCTTGATCAATGTAAAATAGTTATGGTAGCAATATGTATAAAATAAGGAGTTATTTTATTAATTAAGGAGTTATGTATTAATTCTTCAATAAGTTTACCTTTCAAGCAGCGGCGGACACAAAGGGGGGCAATGAGGGGCTGCCGCCCCTCCGAAAAAAAATAATTCTAGGTATATTTATCCCGAAATTTTTAATATATATGTATTTGTATGTATATTCTTCTACTGCCGCCCCTGCGATCGGGAAATCCTGCGTCCGCCGCTGCTTTCAAGGGCAACTATGGTACCGAAAATTAAAAAAGGGGCGGATGATATGAATGTCACGACATGTCAACATGTGCCATCATATTAACGAAAAACATACAAGTCATATAATGGGAAACATGATGACTTTTAGTTATATATAGGGGTAAAATAATATCTCCCATGCAAGAAAAACACCCAAAGTAGTGAGCTTAATGACAAGCCTGAGGAGAAAAGAACTGACTGTATAGATGACGTCTAAGGAAAAGCCGGAGGAGTTAAAGAGCCTCACCATCAGAATCACTGCTTTAAGGGATAATGTCAAGGAAGTGCCGTCTGTAAGGGCACTGACATTGGAAGCTTCAACTGGAGGAAGACTGTGGAGATTGACGAGATGGGGTCCTCATAACACCAGAGGAGACATCAAAAGGCGGTGATGAAGTAGTCAAGTATAAAACAGAGACCATCACAATGGGGGACAACAGTGAAATAGAAGCACGAGAAAGAGAAGAAGCTATGTCAATTCCAATTATAGTTAAAGGCCTGTAGCAATCCTTCCGTCAATGCAGCCACAGAGCAAAGCAATACCTTCTGTACTTCTGTAGGTTACAGATTTACATCTCAGTAAGACTTCAGGATAAAACATTGATTAGTTTTTTGCTATCGAGTATCGATACCATAAAAAATGAACATACATTCTCTGAACGGATGTCTTGTGATATACGGATTATTTATAGTTGGAATTGTACAAATGGTACCATTAAGGTTATTACAAGTTTTGGGACTACATACACAACTACACAGAACTACATACACTAATATACTCTCAAACTCTTAATCATGCAACCATTGGTTTTCATGATTATAAAACTCCTTATTATATAGCAAAACATACAGTCAGGATATTCCCACAAGTCCATAATTTATTAACATAACACTGGGAAATGTACTCATTTGTAGACAATTTGTGCTTTGGGAGACGCACGAGGAAAGCTCAGAAGTTTCTTTGGGGCCTCAGAAGCCATAGAAGAATCGATATCACGAGCTTCATAAATAACAACATCGTGCAGTGCAGGCGACTTAGAGAGTAGTAATTTCACAAGGCATAGTTCGATTTCAGATCCTCTGAACCCGTCAAGCTTCACTGTTTCAAGCATCCTGAAATCAGCTTCCATAAGGTCCTCCAAAAGTGCTGGATCAGCTACTTGAGAACGTTCCACATATTCAATCTCCAGCACACATAGCTTGGGGGATTTCTTAAACAATTGGCCAGCATATGTAAGATGGTCCTTTGAACTAAAATCGAAGGCATCAAGTATGATTTCTTGCAGATTGATTGCAATTGGAAAGGTTGAGGAGGCCACCGCAAGAGCCCTAGCCTACAAAATAATTGAAGGCAAATATAATACTCCGCATAAGATTAGCCATGAAATAAACTTAAAAAACAAAAGTAATAAGAAAATACTGTTTAAAAAAGACGAAAACATACTCCGTAATACATTAATAGCTAATACACATATACCTATCTAATATTTTATTCTACTAATCTTACGTTTTTCAATTTCAATATTTATAATGTTTATTTAGCTTAAAATCTGCAAATCAAACTTGATGCCTTCCATTTTTATTCTACTAATTTTACGTTTTCCAATTTCAATATACTTATACGTAGTATAATCCTACCTTCGTCCCCTGTTATTGTCCCATTGCAGTTTAGGATACTTGACTGACGATAAAGCAAACGGATCCATGTCCGCACTCAAAATATTTTTAGAAAAAAAAAGTTACACATTCAGAAACTAAATAAAAAACTTTACAAAGTTGCAAAAACCAGAATCAAATTTTTATAAAAAAAATGGGAAAACTGTCAAATAAGTTCATCTACTATTATCAAAAAGTCAATTGAGTTCACATACTTTCTATTGAATCAATCAAGTCCATCAAGTATTAAAAAACCATCAAATCGCCCATTTAACCGGTAATGGACCGGTTTTCCGGTTACTAGCCAACGTTGATCGTGCAGGTGGCATTTTTTACTGTTTTCCTATTTTTTATATATCATTTTCTTTTTTTCTCTTTTTTTCTTCTTCTTCTTCCCTTTTTCTCTTTCTTGTTTCTCCCTTCTCTTCCACTCCTTTACCGGTCTTTCTCTGCTTCCATTCCTCCGTCTCCATGCTCCACTCCTTGCGTTCTTGTACGTTTCAGCCCCCCACCGCCACATGTGGTCCCTTTCTTCCATTTCTGCCGCCCCACCCTCCAAACGGGTCACCACCACGATCTCCATCTCTGCCGTGCGCCTTCGTAGCCACCTCCGCACGTGACCTCCATCTCCGCTGCTTCTAACTCCGTACCGGCCCCTCCAACAACCACTCCGCTTCCACCTCCGTCTCGTCCACTGCAGCGACCTCCAACCGCCCCGACCTCCGTATATGCCGCACCCGACCGTCCTGACAACTACCTCCACAGCTTCCGCCTTCATCTCCTCCATTGGAGCGACCTGCAACCGCCCCAACCTCCATCGCCACCACCTCCGCATCCTCTCCTCCGGCGCCCCTACCTCCGTGGCTTCTCCCTCCGCCACCCCTACCCCCATAGCCACCACCGCCCCAACCCCCATAGACTGGTGGATCCTCCAGGGAGGGGATTGAAGGACTAAGGAAAGCCAAAATCCTGGACTGCTAGAATTGCAGTAGACGAGGGAACCAAGTAAAGAGAAAAAATAGGGGAAAGAGAAAAATGAATTAAAAGAAAAGGTAAAAAAGTAAAAAACAATGAGAAAAAAAGTCAGGTGGATGATCTAACCTGAAAACCTATTGATTACCGGTTGAAAGGTCGATTTGGTTAAAATTTGATACTTTATGGACTTAATTGATTGAATAGAAAGTATGTGGACTCAATTGACTTTTTAGTAAAAGTAGGTGGACTTATTTGACAGTTTTCCCTAAAAAAATTGATACATAAAGTAAGAGATTAAAAGTGATTTGTGTTGAGAAAGTGAATATGAAATGGGACAATAATAGGGGATGGAGGGAGTATCTTATTCTACTCATTTTACATTTTCCTTTCCCTTGTCTTTTTCTCATTATTGTTTTACTGCAAGTCCATCCAACTAAATTTTAACATTAGAAGTCCACCCTTTTAATAGATTGTTACTGTCCAGATTTTAGTGCAATGGAATTAGCATTATTTTTAGTATATACTCCCTCCGTCCCTGATTGTTCTTCCAAATTAAAGTGGCACGGTGATTAAGAAAGTGAGAATTGTGTGATGGAGAGTTGTGCAAAGGAGAGAGAAATGCTGTGAACCACGAATTCTTTGCCAAAAAGGGAAAGGGAAAGTGAAGTTTTTTTTGGAACAGACGAAAAGGGAAAGTTGGAAGTAAATTTAGGGACGAAGGGAGTAATAAAATACCATATTAGGAAAATGAACAGAGTAACAAAAGCGAAATCACAAATAGTAATCTTGGTAACAACTATTTTCTTAATACTTTGTACTTGTTTAGTTAAAAAAGTTCACTTTTAATCACACATGTATACGGGTTGAATAGTGATTATAGTTATACAAGTTGACCTTTACATTCTAAATATTTATATATTTAATTTAATTGATCATTTCATCTAAAAAATTATTAAAATTTTACATAAATACAATTACTAGAATTTTCATGATATAATTTATACACTAAGAAACTAGTAGATGCAATACAACAACAACATCCAAGCCTTAATCCCAAACGATATTGGGGTCGGCTAACATGAATTGATTCATAATATCAAAGCCAAAAAGAGAAGAAAAATAATAAAAATAAAAAGATAAAGTAAGATAAGATGAATACGAGAACTAGTAAATACAATGCGATAAAAAAACTCCCTCCGTCCCACAAAGAAGTACCCATTCCGGTTTACGATGGTTTGTTGATAATAAAGTTGACTGGTCTATGTCAATACTCTAGATTATTTTTGTAAATAAATTTTATGTATTCAGAAAATATATTAAAAGTTTTATAGACTCGCCAAGAAAGAATTCAAATTCGATATAAGTGGGATATAGAAAGAAAATATTAAGAGCGATTTAAGTTGACCATATGAATAATGAATGAAAACTTTTTGGGACGTATATGTTAATATATACGGAGTAATAAAATTAATCTTAAAGAACAACAATAACTTATTAAGAATAGGGAGACAGTATATGAGAAATAAGATCTTACCGAATAATAATATAGCAACAATCTAAGTGTCACAATAGAGGTCAAATGAAGCTTGAGCAATCTGGAGCTTCCAACCGGACATTCAAAACCAACTTCGGTCAAACTTTTAAGTTTTGGGGCGCTGATGGCAAAACTCTTGATTTGAGAACACATGTACAAACCCAGCTTCTCAAGCTTCGGAATACTGAAGACCAGCCTCTTATCAAATTTATCACTACCCCTAAAGAACTCAACACTGCGGAAATCTAAGTACGTGAGCCTGGGGAATATGCACGAAGCATCTACCGGCAAGTAGAAATCGAAATAATCAAGTTTCAGTTTCTTGATAGTGTTGCATGAGACTAGACATGATGGAACCTTATATTTTGGTCCGGAATGACTCATAGAGAGGTCAAGCTCTTCAATGCTGTTTCTAGACATATAAAGACACCACCGGTCCAAATCAGATTGCTTTGGCAGCAGGGGGTTAGAATTGTAATACATCTGTAACTTAAACTTTTTAAGAGGTCCAGCCCGGAGAATGAGAATGTTGTTTATTATGCTCACAATAGACAAGCTATCATTGTCAGAATTGCTCATGTTTTCGAGGGATCTGAAGAAGGCCGAATCAAAGAAGAGTTGACCTTGGCGGTACCAAGCTTCCCTCCACTGAGTTGAGAGGAGAGAACTTCTGGCGGCATCTCGAGTGGACATGCACTCCAGTATTCTTTCCTTTACCTCTTGAGGCAGTTCACTTGTTACTGTTGTCCTACGACGACAACTAGACATTATATTGAAAACAAGATTAGATAAGATTATTCGTGCGAAGGAGATGGCGAGAATCTTAGGTTGGTCTTTCCTGACTTGTATAGTTTAGTATATTGCAATATTTGTATCAATAGAAAGGGGATGGTCTGTTCCCCAACTGTTCCCACGCAAGGTAAATCATCCGACTCAAGTGGCAGATTTTCAACTGCAAAATTCCAGATATATCAAGTGAAAAAGTTGTTTACATTGTCAGTAGTTACACAATAACTACCATTCTACAACTGGCCATAGGTGCTAGTCGGACGCCAGCCCAGCGCCTAGCGCCTAGGCGGGTGCCGAGGCGGGGACTAGTCGAAGACAAAGAAAATGCATTTTTATCTATATTTTTGCATAAATATAATAAGCAATATTGTATTTTTGAGTGTATAAAATACATATATACATATACCTTAACAAACCTGAATGATAGAATTATCACATTTAATCATACGTAGTATATGATAAGTAATCACTTAACTTCATTATTATGTTATAAATATATATAATGATGAAATTTAGGTATAAATAGAAACATATATAGTTTTGTCTTAATTTACAACTTCATTTCTTTATATCTATGGCTAAAGCTAAAGTACGTATATCTTTTAGAAAATTAAAACTAAAATGTAAAGTAATGTTTGACGAATCTAGACGGTCTACACGGCCGATTAGGCGAACTGGGCAGGCAACTAGGAGCCATAGGCAGCCAACTAATTCCCCTAGACGGCAAACCAATTAGTCGGAACACCTAGACAAAAATCGGGGCGCCCGACCACCACCTAGCGCCTAGGGGGACTAGTCGGACGCATAGAACGATTTTTAGAACAGAGGATATAACACATAACAGTCCGTAGATAAGCTACACTCTTGGCTTCTGCAGAGTGCATGTTTTTAACTTCGATTGGAAATTTCCACTCACAACATTACAAGTTAAACCACCTGCATATTTACATGAACCCACATAAATCACTTATCCAAGTAATACATAGAGATGGGATTTCAACATAATTTTGGCATATAGGTGATGCATTTATGCCTTTAAACATCCAACTCAACTAATACATTTTTATTCTATTAGGTCAAGAAAGTTAGCAAATATCTTCAGTCTATTTCATTTGTTCAGTAACATTGTACTTATTTACTATTCTCTCTGTCTCGTTAAGATAGTCCCTATTAAAATTGTATCACACCAAAATTTGGTAAAGTTTGTGTGATTCTACATTATACCTAATTTATTCTTACTTTATCAATTTAATAATAAACCTACTTTTCTTAATAATCACACCACCTACTAATATCGCTCTTATATCCCAAGGTTATGAAGCTAGTACAACTTCGATGTAGAGTTCTGGCATATATATACACTGCTTTCTTTGAAGTAGACGTGACGCATAATGGAGACTTAGAGGTAAACATTCCAAACTTGAATTTTGCAGTTTCATCAAAACTTGATTTTTTGGTTAAATTCAGTACAAAGACTGATTAACGTTTTACCTATGGTTTGCTCAAGATGCTAACCGCGAAGTACACTGTAAAATACTGATATCTCTAGACTAGATTCTTGGATTAGGGACACCGACAGAAAGTTTGAGACAGTGAAAGTTAACGAACGAAAGTAATACAAACCTGAGAGGAGCGACTATTGAATAGGAAAAGAGTGAAAGCCGGATAGACGTTAGAGAAATCTCAGAGCGCCGATTGTCCACGATGAAGAGAGGGGACCCGGCCACAGATGGAACCACGGAAGAGAAATTAGGTTTTCCTACGGTGGGAAATCTAAACTTACCTAGATCTTGATATTTATACGCTGCGGTAGAATTTAGATTGTGCCCAATTTACACTACAGTAGAATTTAGATTGTGCCCAATTTACGCTACAGTAGAATTTAGATTGTGCCCAATTTTAATACTCGGTAGCTATGTTGTAAAAATCCGATCGGGAAGCGATCCAGCCGAACGACCGGGTCACGGGTCAGCCCGGACCCGACAGGTTAACCCGGTCAATGCTGGAAAACCCGGTCAACAAATAAATAGAATTATTATTTTAAAATATACAGTTTTTAACAAAACATAAAATGTATATTAAATTAGATGGGTATTAAATAGAGTTTTTTACAAGAATATTACTAAAATAAAACTTATTTACATAAATATGACTATTCATTACTACAACGTAGTATTGTAGTAACTTAAGTTCAAAACTTGAACATGAATTACTATGATTTCATTAGTACTCTAGTAATGAGTCATATTTTTGTAAACCATCTTTATTTTGATCATATTTATGTAGTTATTTCTATTAATTAAATATGAATACAATGCTTTTTTAAAAATGAAAATACAATGTTTATTAAAAAAAGTGAAATACTCCGTATTATATCAACACTTTCACTCATAATATTAGTAATAGCATATACTGTACTCTGTATTACTTTATACGGAAGCGTATATAGTACAGCCAGCTCCCGGCTGTACGGTGAGAACCGTACAGGCGGTGGCATTTTTGTAAATTACATGAAATTCGCGTCTTGTACTTAATTAGCATTAAAACACGTCTTGTGAGCATGTGACATATTTTGTTGAGCATTAGAAGCATAACAATGAGCATCGTGATCTCTGCTTCATCTCTTCTAATTTAATTACTTTCTTTTCCTTATATTTTTCTTTATAAAAAATTTATTAAATTAATGCAATATGATACTTTTGAAATATGCATTGTTATGCCATTTTACAAATGACCATAACATGAATACCCATTGAGCATACATAACTTATAAAATGAGAATTGATATGAAAATCATAAGTACTTTTAATTGAACATCAAGTCATTTTTATTGAGCATCAACTTGAAATTCTAAGTACCAATGATTTTCATTATGCGATTGTGATGAGCATCGAGTCTGTTCTATTTAAATGAGCATAAAATAACACCAAATGAGATATGTAACTTACAAAATGAGTATCAAAAAATTTAAAAGCTCATTTGTGTATGCTCATTCATTTTGGCCCTTATACTCATTTGAGTTTAACATTAGTATGATACGTTTGAAATGAGCATACAAAGGTACGAAATGAGTATACATAACTCACAACATGAGTATAAAAAATTCACAAAATCATTTGTGTATGCTCATTCATTTTCGGTTTTATACTCATTTGAGTTTTACATAAAACTCATTTTTAATATGCTCGATATTCATTTGTGTATGTTCATTCTTTTTAAGCTTATACTCATTTGAGTTTAATATAAACTCATTCATTTGTTGCTTGGTAAAATCTCTTTATGGGTTAAAGCAAGCCCCCAAACAATGGCATGATAAATTTGACAGTGTAATGTTATCAAATGGATTTAAGAACAACGAGGTTGACAAGTGCGTGTACGTGAAAGGCAATCAAAATGACTACGTCATAGTCTGTCTATACGTTGAGGATATGCTCATTTTTTGTAGTAACAATAATTTGATAAAAGCTACCAAAAGTATGTTGGCCAGGAGATTTGAAATGAAGGATCTCGGTGTTGCTGATGTGATTCTCAATCACACTACATTGAGAAAATGCTTGGGAGATTCAAGAAATATGATATCAAACCCATGAGAACTCCTTTTGATTCCAGTGTTCACCTCAATAAAAACAGAGGAGAAAGTGTATCACAAGATGACTATCCTCGGGTCATAGGATGTTTAACATATGTCATGAATGAAACACGACCCGATATAGCTCAAGCTGTGAATAAGCTAAGCCGGTTTTCAGTAAATCCCAGTAAAGAACACTGGAAAGCGCTTATAAGGCTGCTTAGGTATTTGATGTACATCAAAGACTATGGTTTACATTTTCAAAAATATCCAGCCGTGCTAGAGGGATATACCGATGCAAATTGGATATCCGATTCCAAGGATACAAAATCAACAAGTGGATACGTGTTTACCCTTGGAAGTGGTGCTGTGTCGTGGAAATCTTCCAAACAAACATGTATTGCAAGATCTACCATGGAAGCTGAATTCATTGCCTTAGATAAGGCTGGAGAAGAAGTTAAATGGTCGAGAGAGTTTTTGGAAGATCTTCCTTGTTGGGAAAAGCATGTCCCTCCAATATCCATTCATTGTGATAGTCAATCTGCAATTGGAAGGGCAAGGAATGCAGTTTATTTCGGTAAGTCTAGACATATCCGTCGTAGACATAATACCGTTAGAAAACTAATAAAAAAATGGGATCATCTCTCTTGACTATGTTAAGTCGAAAGAAAATATTGCGGATCCGCTAACCAAACCTCTTCCGAGAGAGTTGGTCGAGACGTCAAAGAGAGCGATGGGCCTACGACCAATGATCCAATAAAAGTCCATGGGGAAACCCTACCTATTATTGAGAGTGCCTCATAATTAGGTTCAAAGGGAAAACACAAATGTGGACTGGCTCGGGCGGTACTAGCCAAGATATAGTACACTCATGCCATGAGCATTTAGGGTAAGTTACGCTTTTAATGATCTCTATATCTTGATACGTTCAAGTAAGGTATGGCATGATACCTTCCATAAAGATCACCTATGCTGGTGGAAGAAGGCCGCTTCTATGAGAGTCTATGACACGAGATAAATTCTCCGGTGCACTATATACTCTCAAAACGAACACAAACGTGAGAACCAAAGATGCACTCGGGGCTCTGTGTGTTATTCATTGTCTAGGTTTACACTATGGCTGACGGTTCAAAGCAAAGTGCTACCGATTGTCTAGTAAATCCGATGGATATACACTAAGGTAGGTTCAAAGTTTCACGACTACCTAACCCTATGCAGAGTTCCCATCTTCCCATGTCAAATTCCAATATGTTTCCTATCTTTAAGCCAATTTCCCATTCATGTGGGGGGATTGTTGGAAAAATGGTTTTACAAATTAATATTATGGTCATTAATATTATTTGTAAAAATCATTTTGAAATGAATGAGAAATTATTCCCCGAAAGATAAGCGTGAAATTATACTTAACACGCATACACTACTGCCGTCAGTCGGTCGGGTCGGGTTCGGGTCTTTGACGAGTCAACAATCGGGCTTAAGATAGGAAGATTTATTTTTGCTACGTTTTTCAGATAAAACCAAATAAAAGACACAACCATTCGTTTTAGAAGAAAGGTCATAAACTTTCTTTTAAAAGGTGTCTTTTGGGTTAAGTGACTCCTGACCAGAGCTCTATAAATACCCGCCTTGTCTTCACTTTTGATACATCCGAAAATTCACAAACAATTCTTCAAAATTCTCTCTTCCTTCGTTGCATCTTTGAGTTCACCGGAATCCCGTTGGGAGCGAAGAACCATTCTATCCTGGGAGACGCTTGCTACGTGTATCGGGCAAAAACGTCTTAAGGAGACAACAATTTTGTTGGGCTCGGTTGATTCAAGTATTTTCTTTTACTTCCATTTGTTTAACTAATGCATGTAGATTTACATGAATTTCGAATAACAATATATGCAGTAAGCGAATGAGAGGAGAAACTTGAGTATCAAGTATCAACTTTGAAACAAAACGTGATAGCTTCAGGTCTTCCACATTTAGTGCAGGTGATCTGAGTGGAAGTCCAGTTCTAGAACAATCATCCACAAAATCCTTGGAAATCATATGGAAACAAAGCATATACTTCGTATAAGAAAGCCTTGCATACGCTGAGTAATAATAAATTATAGGTAGATAAATGAAACCTAAGAAAAATACCCAAGGAAATAGAATAGTCACAATACCTTAATTTAGAGCGAAATAATCCAAATGAAGAGTACAAATCGATCTCAAGTCCAAGTTAACGGGGATAAAACTGTCCTTTTCACTACCTATGCAGGAGTTGAATTTTAAGCTACGAATATTTTTGGCAATGATGTGAAGATAACAAATTTTATTGCAACCTAGAAATGAAAGATCCTCCAGCATTGGAACATCAAAGACAAGATGTGAACAACGATTAAAGTAAATGCATCGAAACTCAAGTGATGCGCATTTGGTAACATGTAGGTGGATCTGAGTTTTTGAACAAGCAAACTATGAAGATGCAATGACTTGAGTGTTAGGCATGACAGTACGAAATCGGGTAGCCGGTATTGGTGGCCTCAGGGGCGGAGGGAGGGGGTGGCCTGGCTGGGCCATGGCCCAGGGTATTTTTTTATTTTATATTATATATATATATATAATTTGAATGTTTATTTTAGAAATTGGCCCAGTACAAAAAAACAAACCTGGCCCATGGTAGAAAGGCTTAATGCAAAAAACAGTCCACCTCTAACGTAAAGAAGCGCTCAAGGAGGTTTATAAAAAGGGGAATCAGAACTCCCAATTTCGACTGCATTGGGTTTTAGAATAAAAAGGAGGTTTATTTTACCTGGAATATCTATTAATATCTAAAGGAGCAGTTTTTTGTGAATAGTGTTCCCTCCTATTTATGTCAACATCAAAGAGTCATTGGGTTATTTGTCAAAAAAAATTAAAATTAAAAATTTCATTTAAGGATATAAGATTTCTATTGGTTGAAATGGGAGGCAACCAGTGTTGACTCAGCCAATTTTGTGCTAAAGAAATTCCTATTGGTTGAAATGGGAGGAGATCACTGTTTGAGTTATTTGTCAAATCATGTCAATGTTTATCTAGCTTTATTCCTATTGGTTGATTGGGGTGGTGAGAATAGTGAATTAGATTTAAAGTATCTCATTCACAGCATGCTATTAAAATTCGTAGAAATTTTTTGTTGAGAGCTTCATAAAAAAATCAGGTCATGGTGTGGGCCATACCCAATGCATGCCTATTTACATTCAGCTATAAAAGCAGATTCAATAATGCATTTCTCTCATTCACGCTCACGGAGCAAAAGAGTCAATATACTCTTTCAATATGGTTGATAACTTGATATGTGATCTATAGTTCATGAGATTGGTCAAAGCAGGACCACCTGGGTCTTGAAGGGGAGGACGACAAGAGTCTGTGTGGGATCTTGCACAAGTGCACATATGATGGCTCGGCCATCTTTTAGAAGTCATATTTCATCATTTCATGATGATGAAGAGGTCCTGAGATATTCTGAGCATTTTTTAATTCCTTTGGTTACCATTGATTTTTTAACTGACTGTACTGTAATGATTTTTTTTGTCATCCTATTTCTAAACATGTTGTTCTTATGACAGAGATAAAGTTTTTTTGTTGCCATTCAATATAAAGTTCTTATGTGTTTTTGGTTTTCCAAAAACACATCGTGATGTTATAATTGTAAGGGGATGAAAAAAAGTGGGTTCAGTAGACATACCTCAGATCACTGCTTCTGCTACAGTCCTGATTCTATCCTAATCCAAGCCTAATTATTAAATTATTACATTCCAAACTTGCAAATTGAGATACATGTAATTAATTTTACATTTCAAGGAGATATAAAACAAAGAAACAATAATCACCCAGAGAAAATGTATCCATAGACTTGCATTCCAAATGAAAGTTGTAATTAAAAAGACTTGAATATTGTATTTTATATTTATTGATCGATTTGCTAATTTATGTAAAATGCATATCAATTTGACCATAGGTAGATGTAGTAAAAAATAATCATTTTTAGACGAAATTAACAATATTGATCAGTTGTGTTTAAAAGACCAATAATATTAAACCAGCTCAAAAACCGTGTTCTACATATTTTAAATTCAAGTTCTAATACCCCATCTAAAGTTTAGCATGTTTTCTAATTTTTTTCAGTTGTGTTAAAGTTGTATCCAGGTTGATAGGGAGGTATGCTTCTTCCTTTAAAGGTATTAATCATTACGCGGTATTTTTTATCGTTACTTGGTTTAATCTAACACTAAAGAGCAAAAGAGAAAGCACAAGAGAAAGCAAATGAGAAAGCATGATATTTTTAGTAGTGCCTGACATATAAAATAGAAATCAAATGAGAGTCCAAGAATAGTGAGCCGTGGACAAGAAGAAGCGAAGAACAAGCCAAAACTTCATGTGGTTGCTTGGCACCAGTCTTATTCTAGTGGAAAGAACTACAAAGTATAGGTTTCCATATCAGTACATTTAATGTACACATATTGATTAAATCTTTTTGTGAACTAAAATTGGTAACTGTTCTTTGGTACATCGGAATAGATTGGTAACTGTTCTTGATTTTACCTAAGCTTGGGTTATTAAAAACAGTTTCTGTAAAAGAGAAGAGGCTATTGAAATAGTGAATTATGTATTCTAAAACAATTTACCCAAATAATTGAAGTTAAGTTTAACAAAATGTAAACCTTGCAAATAAAATCTTCTATCAGAACTCTCATTAGTAGCACTTCGTTTACAAATCACGTTCATTCAAAAACTCTCATGCTCAAAAATCATGCTTCTATTCATCCACTTCAAAATAATGGTCTAAAATAATTTAGAAAATTAACAAAAACGTCAACAGAGAAACACAAAGAGATCCAAACTTTTCTAATGCTCTTAGCAATTTGTGGATGTGATTTTTCAGCTTTTCCCTATCAAAAGATGCTATAAAATAGCGGGTTAGTGGGACTAATGTTCCAAAACGCTCTGAATTGGTCCTATAATAAAGATCTAATAAACATATATTTCAGCTTACTTAAAAATATGATCAAACATAACTTATGTGTAGGCGAAGATTCGATTGTTTAGATGTGGTTTACAATAAAACGGAATCACATTGTTCACTAATAATCGGTGTTCGAACTCATTATGTATGTAGGAAAAGAGTACATCACTGGCAATATCTATGATTATAAAATACATTTGAGAAAGACAAGCTTACAGATTGAAACATAAGGAGTCACTACGCGACGTCAATTTGGAGAGTTCTTCAGTTTTGGCACAGGCTCATAGCTCGGTGAAAATATGCAGACGATTCGCATCTTCAATAGATTGATGAACATAGAACAATTGATAAAATTGATATCATTGAAGTCACATGGTAGGCGGGGTGCGTTGTCGGCTGAATCTAAAAATTTAAAATACAGTTGTAAATTTTCATTTTTAAATGAAAATTGTTAATTATAGTGTTCGAGAAACAAAAACACGAAAAGTAGTGTGTGTGTATATATATATATATATATATATATAACCCTAAAAGAATAAATATATTTATTAAGAACCTATATAAAAAGATGAGTTTTTTATATGAATATTATTAAAATAAAACATATTTGCATAAATATGACTATTCATTACTACAATGTAGTGTTGTGGTAAGTTAAACTCAAAAAATGAACATGAATTACTATGATTTTATTACTATTCTAGTCACTGGTCATATTTTTATAAATCATTTTTATTTTGATCATGTAATTATTTCTAAAAAGTTGTATACTCCTTATTTAGTTTTTTTGAAAGAACTCCGTATTTAGTTATTTACCCACCAATCGTTATCAAAAGCATCCTTAATTAATTCTTTTTAAATCAGATTTAATTCAAAATACTTCTGTACGTTCGCCTAGATATACACTCTCATCGAGGTATCCGCTAACCGAGATTTTACATCTCTCCCAGTCTCCCTGACAACGTCGAAAGCTCAAACGTCTTTCCCGTTTCAGATCCTCGAAAGTTTTATGGTGTGCTACTGCGTCCAGATTTCCTGTTTCTCTTCTATTATGGCCATGAGCGATAAGCATGCCGCTTCCATGAATTAAGTAAGAAGTGTTTTAGTTATCTTGGTCAGTTTTTATTTCTAATTTACTTACCCTAGTCATGTACTGTTCTTTCATTTGGATTTATCATGTCTATGTTCTTATAACATTTGATTGATTTAATCTCTAAATTTTACGCGTGCTAAAGCTATACAAGCAAGAATGGCGGGGAGAGATAGAATCAGTCAACTTCCAGAAGACATATTGGACCATATTTTGGGATTAGTACCTATCCAAGATATTGCTAAATTTGCAGTTTTGTCTACCATTTGGAGAGATATCTGGTTCACTCTCACACAGCTCTGTTTTGATAGTCAGTTCTTTAGCTACTTTGACAAAAAATATCAGTCTAGCAGATATGTCATGAAGTCCTCCGCTTTGTATGTAATCAACAAAGTGCTCTTGCAGCACAAGGGAACAATTCGGAAAATTGTCATTGATTTAACTAATATGGGGGTACTTACCATTAAGTCTAGGTCTTTTGACTTTGACCAATGGCTAGGTTTAGTCACACGTAAAGGTGTTGAAGAAGTCAACCTTTATTTTGGGCATAAAGCGTACCGGCTTCCCCATTGTATATTTTCGTGCTCAACGCTCAAGAGTTTGCATCTTCGTCATATCAATGTACAACCATGGGATTTACCCGACACTTTACCGAATCTTACTTCCCTATATTTTGAAGATGTTGAATTTGATCTTATGGGCCCCCCATATAAAGTTGTTGACGTTCCTTTGCTAAAGAAACTGTTATTTAAGAGGTGTAAGTATGTATCACAGTCCAACATCACTGCTAGAAATCTTTGCACTTTGAAAATCAAGGGTTGTTTTTATAGCAAGTTCTGCAACCTCCCCACACTCGTCCGGGACTTGGTATTTGTTCGTAACCTTGATTTGGACTATCATTTTCTTAAGGTATTTTCCCTGGACATCTTGTTTGGACTTTTATTTTGTATCTCATATATGTTTGTAGTGGTGAAACTTTATTTCCATATATTTTCTTGAACTCTTGGCAAATGTGCTATAAAGGTACTTCCACCACAAACAGCCGCAATGAATGTGGAATCACTAAAGCTCTCAAATTTTCGCTTCCAAGATAACGGTAGGACCTCTGCCTTTGTACGCCTACTACGCATATGCCCAAAGCTACAAAGTCTTGGAGTAAGGCTTTCGGTAATATTTATAATTTATTGTAGGATTTTGATTGTTTCCATTATATTCTATGTTTGGTTTAATTTATACGGAGTACCACTTACAATTAACAATGTTTTACTGTATGTTAAGCTGAACCATTTTTTTTTTTCGGTTTTTCATTTTTGAAGTGGACAGAAGATAGTCAAGATACAATAGATTCTACATCGGCGTGCTGGAAGAAACTTCATAGGGCGGTTCGAAAATGCAAACAGCTTCGCCTTTTGCAGCTTGGCTCATTCCATGGAATAAGATCTGAAATGCTTTTCATAAAGGAGATGTTGGCCTCTCTTCGGGCACTTGAAAAAGTTATCATCACTTGTGCTGAGCGTATGTTTGACGACAACAAGAAACATGAAACTTTGGAAGAAGTTTTGCAATTTCCACGTACATCTCCCATAGCAAAAATTGTTGTGTAATGGCTATTATTCCAAGTAGAATGTGCTAGTACAAAACTCTTATAATTCGCATGAGCTACATGCAAAATGGGTGGTAGTTTTGTTTGTGCACTTTAACACTACACCCGCTCTAATTTTTGTATGAATATTGTGCCATGCACTAATCACTTCTGTTTTTGTCAAATGGATGTTATGTCTTTTGCAGAAACTTACGAACTGATTTAGTGACTATGAACTATATAATATGTGTCTAGTACGAAGTACATGGTGTATGGAATTAAAGAAACGAAATTCATTTTATCCCAAATTGAGTATATTCTCTCTATCCCAATTTGAGTTGCAAAATTGATTTTTTTTGGGTCAAACAAACTTAAATCATTTTATTCACTTAATTAGTATATCAATTTTTAATTAAAGTTTAATTTTATTTTGCATCTTTATAGAGATTCTAATCAAGTTTATGAAAATGTAACTTTTAATTATTAGAATTTAATTAATTATCAATAGACAATATTTAACTTTAAAGACAATAAAACGTTGACTTTGTAAAAAATGTGCTAAAATAAATCTCTACCACATGATATACAAATATTGGACGACGGGATGAGGGTTATGTTCACCTTAATGGGAGCAGAGTGACAAAATAGCATTAGGGTGTTTTGTCAGTGCAATTCGTAGGTATGCATCATTGCCTAAAAGAGAAGTTAAAAACTTTGACCAGTAGCAAACTAGCAATGGAAAATTAGGAGACGGTACGACATAAAAGAGCTTACAATTTCACATGGAAACTCGTGTTGTTCAAAGCCTATGAAGTACTCCTCCGTCCCACTATCATTGTCCCATTTTACCATTTCAGTCCGTCCCACTAAGATTGTCTCATACCTTATTTGGTAAAGTTTGCGTGGTTCTAAATCATTCCTACTTTATTATTACTTTATCAATTCAATATCAACCACATAAACCCGCCTTTATTAATAATCGTGCGACTTTCTCTTGTCCCAAACATAGGGGGACGAAGGTAGTACTATACGAATGTATATTAGAACTTGAGAGGAAAAGAGGTATTCAAGCTCATCACTTAAACTGATAATCAATAGGCTTCACAAGAATGACAACAACCAAGCACGTATAACAACTATCTCCTATAATTATGCTAAGCCAAGTATTTAAATACGTGAGTAAATGAAGACCAAATCAAATGCCTAAACTTCATCTAACCACTTAGACTTATTCAAAACAATATTAATCAATAGTAAAGAATAAACAAAGCAATGTTCCACGTGTGCATGGCCTTGAACTCCTTCGCATGCAAGCTTGATCATACTTTCAACACCTCCCCTTGATCCAAGCTTGTCATTCCAATTTTTTTCATGAAAAACTGGTGCTTAACCTGTGTCAAGGCCTTAGTGAATAGATCTGCATTCTGAAACTCAGTTCCACAAAATTGCAAAGCTATTTTCTCCTCACATACAAGCTTCCTAATGAAATGATGTTGCACATCTATATGCTTTGTTCTAGCATGAAAAGCTGGGTTCTTTGCCATTACATTGGTAGACATGTTGTCACACCAAATCTCTGGGATATCTTGTTGCTCACAGCCAAAGCGTTCAGTAATTTCTTCAGCCATAATGCTTGTTTTGCTGCAGCTCCTGCGGCAATATACTCTTCCTCTGAGGTAGACAAAGCAATTGTATCTTGCTTCTTGGAACTCCATGTAATAGCTCTAGAACCAAGGTCAAACTCTGATCCTGAGGTGCTTTTTCTATCATCAACACAATATGCCCAATCACTATCAGTATAGCCTCTAAGTTTAAAGTGTTGTACACTTTCATACCATACTCCAAAGCCCAGAGTTCCTGCCACATATCTCAGAATTCTTTTGGCAGCACCAAAATGTTGCTTAGTAGGACAATGCATATACCTAGACACAACACTAACACTATGTGCAATGTCAGGTCTGGTGTGTGTTAGGTAATTCAGTCCCCCAACAAGGCTTCTGAATATCCTTTCATCTTCCTTCTCAGTTCCATCACACTTCTGCAGCTTCTCATTGTTATTCATAGGAGTCTTAGCTATCTCACAGTTCTCCGTATAAAACCTTTTAAGCAGATCCATAACATACTTTCTTTGCCACATGAAAGTTCCTTCCTTTTGTTGCTTGACTTCTAGGCCAAGAAAGTATTGCAGGATTCCTAGATCAGTCATTTCAAACTTCTGCTTCATTGAATTCTTGAAATCTACTAGCATACTTTCTAAGGAGCTAAATTATACTATGTCATCAACATAAAGGCACACAACAATAAACTGATCCATACCTTGCTTCTTAATGTAAAGTGTTGGTTCATTATCACTCCTAATGAATCCATTAGTAGTAAAGAATGAATCAATCTTACTGTACCAAGCCCTTGGAGCTGCTTTAAGCCATAGAGTGCCTTCTTTAGTTTGTACACTTTCTCAGGTTCCTTCTTCTTCTCAAAACCCTGAGGTTGTTCAACAAACACCTCTTCCTGAAGTTCTCCATTTTAGAATGTTGACTTCACATCTAACTGGAACACAGATAACTTCCATTGTGCAGCTAAGGCTAGGACAACCCTCACAGTTTCAAACCTGGCAACTGGTGAGAAGGTTTCCTCATAATCTATGCCTTCTTGCTGAGCATAGCCTTTGACTACCAACCTGGCTTTGTGCCTTGAAACACTTCCATCCGGGTTGTATTTTGTTCTATAGACCCATTTTAGACCTATAGCCTTCTTCTCCTTGGGCAGACTTACAAGCTCCCAAGTTTCATTCTTCTCTATGACATCAATTTTCTCTTCCATGGCCTTCTGCCATTCTGACTTAGCAACAGCCTCATCAAAACATGTGGGTTCTGCAGCAACTAGAGCAAAATCACGATTTTAATAGATATCAACCAATGTTCTTACTCTGCTTGGAGGAGATTCACTTAAGGATGATGAGGGAGAGCTTTGGTTGCTTGAAGAAGTAGATGAACAGATGAACTGCGTGGAGTTGAGGGAGGATTAAGCTATGGAGGGTCTTCAATATGCTCATCGGTTTCCTCTACATTGACTATCCTTCTCAAGCTTCCATCAGTTTGATTGGCTTGACTCCAATTCCACATTTGCATCCTCATCATAGAATACATTCCTACTTATAACCACTTTGCTTGTGAGTGGGTTATACAGTCTGTAAGCCTTTGACTGAGTTGAGTAACCAACAAAGATGCACTTCTCTGCTTTAGCATCTAACTTGGTTCTCAGATTTACCAAGGTATAGGCAATACACCCAAATGTTCTTAGGTGATTAACTGAACGCTTCTTCAGTCTCCAAGCTTCAAATGGTGTTGAATTCATCACAGCCCTAGTAGGTGAGATATTGAGAATGTAAACAGCTATTGCAACTGCCTCACCCCAGAATGAGTTAGGAAACCCTTTAACCTTCATCATACACCTAGCCAATTCAACAATGGTTCTGTTTTTCCTCTCAGCTACCCCATTTTGCTCAGGGGTATATGGTGCTATAAGTTCCCTTCTAATCCCCTGATCATCACAGTATTAACTAAACTCTTAGGAGACAAACTCTCCGCCCCTGTCTGTTCTTAGGGCCTTCACTTGCAGTCCACTTTGCTTCTCCACCAATGCTTTAAACTTCTTAAAGTTCTCAAAAGACTCAGATTTAGTCTTTTGAAAGTACACCCATGACATCCTATTGAAGTCATCAGTGAGGAGCAAGAAATACTTACTTCCTCCTAATGATTCAGTTTGCATGGGGCCACACAAGTCAGCATGAATTAACTCCAATCACTCATTAGCCCTCTAAGCCTTGCCACTTGGAAATGAACCTCTAGCCTGCTTCCCATACACACATCCTTCACAGAATTCTAACACCCCAATGCTAGGCAGTCCGTGCACAAATTCCTTTGATCTTAGCAATTGTAAACTATGATTGTTGAGATGACCATACCTCAGGTGCCATAGCTTTGCATTTTTCATCCCCTTTCACCACAAGAGCTTGGTCTGCATTTCTGGTTAGGTTTAATGGAAAGACTTTATTCTTTCCCATTGGTATCTTCATCACAACTTCATTTTGCTTCTTATCCTTGATGATACACATATCATCCTCAAAAAGGATTCTATATCCACACATATAAGCTGGCCCACACTTAACAAATTATGGGCAAGATTAGGAACATACTGCACATTATGCAGTAATTTGGGCCTTCCCTGCTCAGTTGGAAGCTCAATTGTTCCTTGTCCTTCAACTGAAAGTTGCTTACCATCTCCAAGCCTCAACATACTCTTCTTAGAGTCATCTCGGTCCTTAAACATGTCCCTAGAACTGGTCATGTGGTTTGAGCAACCACTATCCACATACCAGACTGATTTTGCTCCAAAATCACAATTATGTTGAGCAAGGAAAAGGTTTTCATGCTCAGCATAATTAGACTTGCTCCCAGTTCTTCCTTCTCCCTTATCTTATTCTTTCTTCCATCATGAGGCCTCTTTATGGCATGTCTTGTTGCAGTAATAACATTTGACGGGGCTCTTGTAATTGCTCCCAGTTGGCTCCTCCTTTCTTTCAGGAATGTAACCTCAGCCCCCTCTGCCACGACCTCTACCTCTATTGCCTCCTCTACCACGATCTCTTGCTCTTCCTCTTGAATATTGTTGAGTCCTATCATGGTTAGAGGTGTCAGCTTTAGCTTGAAATGCTATCTCATCGCTATCTTCCTCTTTATCTTCCCTTTCCTCGTAGGCCTGCAAAGAACCTTTAAGTTCATCAAAGGTATATACCTCCACGTCCTTTGACTCCTCAATTATTGCCACAAGATGAGAGTACTTTCTTGAAAGACTCCTCAGCACCTTACTAATCACTTGTTTGGATTTAACCTGCTCTCCATAGGATCTCATCTTCTGCACAGTTGATGTGATCCTAGAGAGGTAATCATTGACAGTTTCTTTGTCCTTCATCTTAGCATTCTCAAACTCCCTTCTTAGGGATTCTAGCCTGACCTCAATGACCTTCTTGTCACCCTTGTATTCCTTTTGAAGAATACTCCAAGCTTTCTTGGATGTTGAGGCTGCAGCAATCCGGGGAAAGACCTCATCATCCAAGGCTTGTTGGATGAAATAGAGAGCCTATGCATCTTTCTTTCTTCTATCTCTCAAGGCTTAATCTGGTTCCTCCGGTTGTCCATCTTCAAACCCTTCATCAACAAT